AATGACTGTAATTAAGTAGAAGTACAGTATAATATGTATTTTCATATAAATTAAGGGAAGGCCACTAAAAAGGGAAGTGGGAGCTTATTTGATATATTTTTAAAAGGGTTAATATTTGAGAGAGAGAGAGAGGGAGAGGGAGAGGGAGAGAGAGAGAGAGAGAGAGAGAATTCCCCTGTGAACCTCTCCATTATATTGCAGGCCTTAAATACAATGCATCTTACCATAAAGCTGCATGATGTGCAATTCCAAGGAAGGTTCTGTTGTCCTCTTCTGAAGGACCAATGGGATTGAAGCAAATAACCATCAGCCACTCTAAATCAAGAACTGTGTTCTGAGCACACAGCCACCTTAATTTGTCACATCACGTTTGCACTTCTTTCTATGTTTTTTTTAAGGCTCATGTGCCTTTCAAAGCCCTTGCTCTACTGTTGATATGACTTGGAAGTAATGCAAATCACCATGCTATGTATAGGTCTTATAGCCTGATTGTTGCCTATGAACAAGGTTGGGCTTCAAAAAATTTAGCAAGGGGTTCTCTGTCTGGTTGCTGTGTGGGTGTGACCATGGTGGGCATGGCCTAGTTGGCCTCCTGCACCACAGGAGGGGGCATGTAATTGCCCTCTCCAGGCTCCAGAACAACAGTGGTGGGTTCCGGCAGGTATGCCCTGGTATGGACACACCATTGTCTGCTGGGAGCAGCAGGCACCCTACTGGAATGGTGCTTTGGAGGGCCCACCCACCTGCCTGCATTCCTTACCTGTATTTGAGCCAACCGGGCCATTTGTGCACGCACACACAGCTGAGCAGCTAGAGCATCGCAGGATGGTGGATGGTGGGTGGTGGGTGTGAATGCGTGCGCAGCATTGGTGGACGCCCAGCCCTGTCACAGTGTATCAGTTGCAACGGGATCTGGATCCTACCACTGCTCCAGAGGCTTTCTTCGACCCTTTGGGAGGGTGAAAATGGCCTCCCCAGGCTCTGAAGGCCCTCTGGAGGCTGGAAACAGGCCCTTTTCTGGCCTTCCCGAACTTACGGTAGGCCCATTTTTTGTTCTCCCTGAACCTCCGTGTGCGCCCTGTACTTACCTGCAGCCAAAACGGGCTGCATGTTGACTCCTGGGAGGGGTGGGGTGAAGTGGGCAGGGCCAGCCAGGAGTGGATTTGGGGGTTCTCCGAACTTTACAGAATCTTAACTAGAGGTTCTCCTGAACCCCTCTGAACCCCCCGCAGCCCACCCCTCCCAATGAAGCTTCTGAAAGCCACAATATATCAGTCCTTTGGGGCACAGGGAATTGATATAGGGGGCCTACCTGATGTATTGGATTTAGTATTGTGTAATGTCCTAGGAACTCCCTGGCATCGTGTTTTAAACTAGTCTCCTCAGATCTGACATCCTCACATACAGGACCGCTTATGGATATTTGTAGGGATTGCAATTTTGCTCTATCTGGAGCAGGCCAGAACTGGAAAAGCTATTTTAATTAATCCGTGCTTTGGAAAGTTCACCTCCTGCTGGATTTCAAACTAAGAGCAATTATCTTAAGATGTTAATTTGTTAAGCCTGCCTTTTGTTCTACTGGTTCAGTTTTTGATGTGAGTCATATACAAAAATGAAGAACTGGAAGCTTTGGAATGTTTGAAAAACTGGAGCGCTTTAAATCCTTTAAAAGCCGCTCCAGTTTTTCAAACATTCCAAAGCTTGTTTTGAGGATGAAATTGATTTTCACTTTTTCACTGTTTTTGATTACTTATTGTTGTGGGAAGGGAACCTTCAACAAAGCTACCTGTTTGTGGGATGCAGTTTCCAAGGATCTGGCCATTTCAAATCATAGGGCAAAGCAAGCTTAATCATAGGTTGGCTTTAATCCATTCTTTTTCTGTAGTAAAGCCCTGCAGTCGGGAACCTTTATAAACTTGTAAACTAGATATGCTCAGTTCAGTGTTATGTGGCAGGAAAAAAATTCCATACCTCCAAGAATACATGCTTAATAATATCAGCATCTATTTTCATCTGTAGGTGAACTGTTAAATAAAATTAAGGAAGACTCCTCTGGTATAGAAAATGCAGAGTTCAGTCCTGTGGGAAACACTAGCAACTATCCGTATCTTTCAGATATTTGTATTTATTAATGTATTATTTCTACCCGTCCTTCCTAATGTCTGGGGGGCAATCTTATTGAGTGAAATAAGGTTCTCTGCATAGCAATTTATTTATCTATCAGGTATATTAAATAAGGTTCTTCACATAACAATTTGTTTACTTATGCATATGATTTATAAATAGGATAATGTCCATGAATGTATACATTTACATTCAAGCTTTCATTTCAAAGATGGTAGCTAATAACATGAAATGAAACACAAGTTTAAATAAAGGTTCACCCATGGAAAGATATTTTGCATTAATACACTTTCTATTTCGTCCACAGTATAATCCGTCATAAACTCACTGAATAAGAGTTTCTTCTTTCTATTTCTTCTTTCTTTGGTGTCTAGTCTCCCCTGTTGTGGAACCAGTCTTCCAAGACATTCGGCAAGCCATGGGACGCAGTGTAACCCTTCGATGCACTATGTTAAAGGGAAGCCCTATGAAAGTGGCCACAGCTGTCTGGAGATTTAATGGCAGTCTTCTAACAGTGCCTCCAACAGAGCAGCAAGACTACTCAGAATATAAAGTGGACACTGTAAGCCGGGAGACTAGTGGCAACTACGAATGTAGCATCTCCAATGATGTTGGGGTAGCAGTTTGCAAATTCCAGGTATCAGGTAAGTCTTGCAAAGAAAACTTGACCTGTTTTTCTTATGTAGTAAATACTGGTATGATTACACTTGGCTAATAACTGGTAGATGAATGAAATGGAAAATTTGCCCATAATGAGATTCTACCAAAAAAAAAAAAAAAGTAGTTTTTACCTTCTCTCCATTTACTGAGCAGTCCTGGAGCAGCAGAAAGTTAGTGCTGGGCAAGAAATTGTACTCACCTCCCAAGTAGGAATGTCCACTGGATCACCAGCTTCTCTACAAATAGAAGGAGACATTCTGTTTAGGAAAAGTTGATAAAATGAGGCACAAAAATTGGTTCCTATAAGGTGCCAGTACTCCCACTATCCTTCACCTGCCTCTTATGAATATAATTGTTTGGCTCCAAGATTAGTTCCTGTTTTATATTTTGCTATCTTGCCTTTTAAGTTTGGAAGCCTGAGGGCAGTTTCTATTTTTTAATTGATAGAGTTGATGAATAAAAAATAGTCTTTATGCCACAATGCAGCATGTAATTAAATATGATCTGGTGATTTAAAAATGGAAAGTTTAACTCATGTGTATCATTGTTGTTTCCATGACATCTGGGCTTTGGGGATCTGAAATATTCTTTGACCCTTTAATTTTGTTTTCCTGCAAAACTGTCTCAGAAAATGAGTGGCTAGAGGTCAGACATACCCTTTGGACTGTCCTGATTTAATTTATTTTATTTTTGGCTCTTTGTTCTGATAGACTTTGGCTTCTTGCAGCCATACAGTCCTTTAACTGAGTCCATCCTTTGCAGTCAATATGGATTACTTGTTTGGTCAGCATTTTCCAATTACAATAAAAGTGTTAGGTAACTTTTACACCTTATCACAACATCAGGTGCATACCACAAGGAAACCTCCTGCGCACTTAAGATATCCGGCTTGTACCAAAATGTGCTGTCTCTGCACATTTAAGTAGAAGTGTATGTGAATTTAATAGAGAAATATGCCAGTTCCTTCATCTCCCAATGGTTGGTATAGCTCTTTGTGTGCAACTTTTGTCCTTTCAAAATCTATATTAATATTTTCTGCTCTGTATATAGCAAAATTCATGCATGTAGATTTAGAGGTGTGGTCTAGCATTTATTTAATTCTTCTGTGTCTTTAAATATTTGCAAAGTGCTCCATGGGTGATTTATATGAACAAGAAGAAAATTATAAAGGATATGATAAACTTTATTATTATATCACCAGAGATGGAGTTTTCTATCTTGGGAATCAGTTAATTATGAAAATGGGCATAAGATAATGATTATCGTCTGTTCTGATTTTAATTCTGAATTTGTTATGAAACTCGACTTAACAATCAATATAAGTTGAATAAGCAACAATTAGTCTCCAAGGTGGCTCTGAATGTCTGCATACACAAAAATATAAGTCAATAAATATAATAAGAAAAGGGGATTTAGAAGTAAACATCAATATTACCATTCTCAGTTAATAAAAATAAATGTGGAATCATTTCCATTTAATTAGAGCCGAACAGAATGGCTGAGCTAGTAATTGGGATGGGTAAAGAGGAATGGAAAAGAAGAGATCTCTGAGAATAAGGAATACCTGTAAAGTGTATTGTTTGTCTTGCAATATTTTCCCATTATTTATATATATTTATATATATATATATATATATATATATATATTCACATATACACATATGCACATACACACACCAATGCAAGGCT